TCTTTCCTCTTCTTCCTTTCCTTCACTTTTCTTTACCCTTCCATTTTATTTTTTTTACTTTAATCTTCCTTTAATTTGAATAAAAATTATGTTCAACTTTCCAGCAGTTGTTGAGGCCAATTTCCTAGTAGGAAGAGAAGAAGCCTGGACACTGGACACTGGACATCTTACAATAAGTTTAGCCCCACTTCGTAAAATCTCATTCAGCCCTGGACTCATCAATGTGTTATGATGACATTAGTACCTTAATAATTCAGTTACTTTCCCAATGCCCACCTCTATTGTATGAGTCCTTTCGGTACAATTTTTACCCAAATTATAGAAAATTAATTAATGCATAAAAAGCGCCAATATCTGACACATGTAATATGAAATATTTTATTTTTATTCCTTACATTCAAAAACCTCCCTTAATTTCTGATACATATTTCCTACTCATTAAATGAGTAGAAAGCAATCAAAATGAATATTTTGAAGAATGTTCTTATTAAGAGATGACCAAAAAAGTGAGAAGTAGCTCTCTGAGATCATAAGTCCCTCTCTGTCAATATAACTGCTGAAAGAACTCTTAGAAATATTCTAGAAATCTGTAATTCTTTGAGGGATATAAGTAGTGATTCACTAGGCTTTCTTCCGAGTAGAAAGTTCTGATGTTGAACTAAGGTAGTGCTTTGACCACTTCCCTTCTAACACGTCTTAGTTTTCTCAAAAATGAAATGCATGGTTTTTGAATGGATCATCACTAAGTTTAACCCTACATTAACATCCTATGACTCCATATGTGACTCAGTCTAATCTGTCATTGTATTTTTTCTAAAAAGAATTTCCTGTAAGAAAAGTTATTCAGTTGGCAATCTGGCTGACTTTTTCAAACAGCACCTGGGATATTGTTACTCCACCCTAGGCACTAGAAATGCTGACCATCAGTGACTCTGCTCTAGTCACTACCACCTTGTCATGGGAACTCAAAATATTCATTGCTCATGTCTGCTCTTTCCATGACTGTATTCTCCTCATTTCCCACCTCCAATAGCAAAATACCCTTGTCTTGTGCAACTCCAGAGAATAGGAAGTCTGCCCACACAGCAGTGTGCAAACCAGAGCCGGAAAGGCCCTATTAGATCATGAGATCACACCCTTTCAGAACAGGAGCACTTCTTCTAAGTGACATTTCAGCTCCTTCCCAATGTGTGGCCATGCTTCAGGGGGTCCTGGGTACGGTCTGAATAGCAGTTTATAAGCATTCTGGGATCTTTAATTTCACATGAAGTAATATAGCTACTTTGTTTATTATAATGACTTTTTAAAAAATTTCTCAATTAAGAAACTGTATTAGCAATTTATTAAATTCATTTTTACCCAAACAAATCCATTTAAAACCTGGATGAGCAACACCTTTATGGATCTACTATTAATTTTCAAAAATTAAATAGTTTTATAAATTATTAACATATGACTTAGAGTATTGAGCATTACTCTCTACTAGTACGTTTGCTCACATTCCTCATAAGGTTAAGCACATATTTTTTAATTTTTTATTTTAAATGGAATAAAGCAAAACAAACAGAATAAAGCAAATCAGAACAGCTCAATGAAAGCAATACAGGACTTCAAAACAAGACAACAGGAAATCAACAATGGCTACCATAATGTTTCTCACTTTCCTCAAAAAAGTTGGCCATACCATCACAAACAGTATAATGAAATAAAATAGAACAAAACCAATCAAAATAAAAGAATGAAAGCATTATAGGATTTCAAAAAAAGATGATAGGAAATCAACAACAGCTACCATAATATCTTGTTTACTTCAAAATAGCTGTCATACATAAGAAAGTCAAACAAAACAAATCAGAATAAAACCAATCAAAACAAAAGAATGAAAGCATTATAAAACTTCAAAAAAAGGTAATAGGAAATCATCAATGATTATCCTAATACTTCCTGTTATCTTCAAAATAGCTGCTCATACAATCAGACATAGTAAAATTTAATAAAACAAGAACAATAGAACCAAATCTAACAAAATTATAAACATGATACGAGAATTTAAAACAAGAATAATAAGAAATTATACCGTGATTATCACTTTCTTTGTTTAAATATTTCCTCCCTTATCACTTTCATAGTATCTATTGTGCTTTTAGGATCCCATTAACTCCTTTAGTATTTTATGCTAAAGAGATAACTAAGTGTTCACTCCTGTGAGTCCAGAAAATTTCACCAATGAGCATTATCTACAGTTGCATCCATTTACCTATAAAAGCATTGAGATTATCATACTTCATAGCTGGGTATCTTTCCACTGTATGAAAATATCATATCTTTATTGTCCATTCTGCAGTTGATGGACAAGTTAGCCTTGCTTTTTCTGGTCTCCTGTTGCATGGAAAAATTGTTTTCTTTCCTTTGATTTTCAGTCTATGAATTTCTTTTCCAGTTAAATGTGTTTCTTGTGTACAGCACATTGATGGATCTTGTTTCTTGATCCACTCTCCCTGCATTTATTTTTACTGGTGAATCGAGGTCCTCTACCTTAATAGTTACAACCGGCGTGCATTGGTTCATCTCTGCCATGCTATTACTCTGCTGTTGGCCCTCCAGTTTTCTTCTTCATTCAACTGCTTGTCCTGTTTGATGAGCCCCCTCTCTTGCTATTCCTGGAACCATGGTCATCTTTATCTCTTTCTAGAATATCCTTCGGCACTCTCTGTAAGGTTGGTTTGGTGATCATGAAAGTATCTCATTTTTCAATCAGTTTTGAAAGATAGTTTTGCAAGGTATATCAATCTGGGTTGGAAGTTGCTTTCTTTCAGGATTTGAAACACTTTACTCCAAACTCTTCTTTACTTAACGGATTGTGTGGAAAAGTCTGCTGTGATTTTGATGGGCTATCCATTACAGGTGAACTGTTTCTTTTCTCTAACAGCTTTTAATATTTTGTTCATGTGCTGAATTTCTGGGACCTTGTTTATTATATGTCTGAGCATAGATTTACTTTGGTTATGGCTAGTTGGAGTTCTATATGCCTCACTTATTTGTATGCCAGGTCCTTTTCCCATATTTGGGAAGTTTTATGCTATTACATCTATAAATTGCCTTTGTATTTCATTTATGCGGACCCCTGCTTCTTCATTGATACCTATCATTCTTAAATTATTTTTGTGTCATCTTGCAGTCATTAAATTATTATTTCCTGGTTTCTTGTTATTTTTACGAGATATTTCCTTTCGTGATTGCTAGCTGAGATCCTCTTGTCTTCAAGGTATGCAAGTCTAGCTTCATTCTCTTTCAAGTGGTTTTGACAGCTTTCAATCAACTTTTTAATTTCTTGAATATCTATTTGAATCTGTTTCATGCTTTGTAATTACTTCCCATATTGTTCATTCAAGGTTTCCATCATATTTCTGTGCTCCATATATGTATCTTTTTTAGATATGCTCAGAAATTTTTTCATTATGTTTATTATTTCTTTTTTACCTGAGACATTATTTCTGATCTGATTACTTTTACAGTCTCATAAAATTGTTTCTTTACTTCAGTTGCTATTTTCTTGGAGATTTCAGGTGTGTAACTTCCTTTTCTTCCATGACTGTATCTCCTAGACTTGTTCTGTGTGGGCTGGAGATTGTGTTTTGCTTCTTCGTCTTGACATTCTCCAGGGTTCTTCCCAAAAAGCTAGTTGTGATGTCCCAGGCAATTCCCATGTTGGCTGTCCTTCGACAGTGCAGGGGAATGAGACAGGCACCTGTGGTTCTCTGAACAGGTCCCTAAGGCAGTAATAGGTCATAGGGTAGGCTTCTACAGACCCATGCAGCTACACTGAGATTTTCCCAATGGACAGGGGTGTGTGGCGGCAGGGCTGCTTCTTCTCTAAGCCTGTGTATCTACACTGAGACTGCCCTGATGGCAGCAGGCACATAGAGTTATGTTTGTCTGATTCTCCCAGTGGGTGCTGGCCAGAGACTCTAATCAGTTAAGTACGTATTTATTGTTAGTGTAAAATTTTAATTTAATCATATAACAATACTTCATTGTCTCTGAATATGAAAATATAATGATTAATTTGCTAATTTTTGAAAATTTAAAAATCTATTTCCTCATTTCATTAAACTAAACAATAGAAATCTAACTTACTACTACTCCAAATGACAAGAAACCTAACTGGATAACACAAATGACAAACAAACACAATCCAAATCTTTAACTATAAGTTAACCACTGCTCTGGAATAAGGACAATGTAATTACATGTATTTCTTTATTAATAAGAAAATTTAGGAGTAGGAAACAGAAGTCCTAGTATCACTTTGCAAGCCACATATATCCTTCTTCTCTTAAATACCTTTAGCGAACAGCCTACAATAATATTTGTTTTTACTAAAACATGAATAGGACTAATAGTTACATAGCAGGATGCTTGATTATAGAGAAACAAGGCCACTGACCTAAGACATATACATAGTGTCAGAGGGAAACCAAAATCTATATAATATCATGTCTTCTTAATGATTCACTGGTAACTGGAACCAGAAAGCACCCTGAATCATAGGGCTAAAAAGAATAAAATGCTAATAATAGTAGTAAAATCTAAACTGAGTCAGGTTTTCAATTTGTCTCTCTGTTAAAAAAGAAGAATGTTTGCAAAGAAGGTTGCTAAACTTAATATATGTTTAAGAAATTATTACTATTTCAGATAATTCCATTGGCTACATAGTTATCAGTAAAGTTTCATAAACTAAAAATAATTTCCTTATTTTAGAAAAGGCCGTGATTCACATTAGAAACCTCTGCGTAACATTTGCCTTTTTGAATAGGACTCATAAGGCACAGAATTTCATTTGCAGCTCACGGTTGGGAACAAACATCAACTTCCAAAACTTTCCAGTGAACCAGACCCCAGAAAGTGTTAGAAACAGACATGCCCTGTTAAAAATTTCTGGTTTCAAATTTTTAGCAAAATTAAAACAAATCTTTAAGGAAAGAAAGAATCAAGGGATAAATAGCTATGGAAGAGAACATTGGCAATAAAATTTTTGGAGTTGGTGTAAACTAGAAGAAAGTATTTTAAGGTTACATTGGCTAAGGAGCCAAGTGATTAACCAAAAGAAAACAGTGGGTCCAGCAGCTTTAAAACCATAACAGTAAATAAATGAACAAGTATGGAAGCATGACATTTGCCTACTAGCAAGCATTCTCAAATGAACAGTGATTAGGGGCACTACAAACACACCACCATTTATCACATGCTTATAAAAATAAATTCTTTAGTTTTCTATATATCACATCTGCCTAGTGAACACAGACACAGTCGTGAAGTGAGAAGCATTACAGATCCAGGACAGTTGGGTTTTAGAGACTATTTAGGGTCTAACAGGACTAGTCAAGTCCCAATTTAAATTCCCTTGGAGGAATGAATACCATAGAAAAGAGGCTACTTCACTGCATTGGGCATTCAGAAGCTTCACCCTGGCTCAGTGGGAAGACTCTGTGATCAACTGATGGCCAGAGGAGGAGCCCTTTCGTTACTACTTTCTTGATTTTCTGATGCTTTCCAACACTCTGGGTTTGCATTAGGAAACTGGAGCCTGATTAATGTACATTATATGTCAGATTAAAGAGATAAAATACAGTGCCAAAAGGTAGGCAAATATTGAATTGTTTCCTGTTGTATCTTGCAGGTATGTTGGCATTCAGTTTCTCATTCTTTTTATCATTGCATTTCAAATGCTGATTATATGGGAATTTATAAATTAAAATAGATTGTGTAGCTAACAGATCTCAGAAGCTCACAGTTCACATCAACGGTAACACTATCTTAGATGGGATAAATCAGCTTTCTACCTGAAGAATCTTGATGCTTAAATATATTTGTAATTTTTTTTTAAATTTTTCTTATCTTTCTGAAAAAAAAAACAATAATCTCATGCTAAAATTTAGGGTTTTTTCCCTCTAGGGCATTGACACTTACAAGTGTACTTTTCTTGCAAATCCTTCTTTTAGGTTTCATTCTTTCTATTTATAGAGTTTACAAATTGAACCAGTTTAATTTCATTCAGTGTAATACTAAAACTTGTGGTGAAGTGTATCGAAGCCATTAAAGTACCAACTTCCTCTAAAACTGCAAAGGAAAATGCCCATGAGTAATCTCAAATTACCAGTCATGCTCCTTGGAAGCTTATGGTGGAAGTATGAAATATCCATTGGCTCAGGATATACCTTCTATAACCACACTCGTTATAAGACTACCTTCCAGAAATTCAAATGAAATGATTGTGATAAACAAGGAGTTCCTGCAAATAGAACTAATAATACCAACATCTCATGTCTGTATCAATATAAAATATTTCAGTTTGAAATATTTGCTTTGCTTAAATTTATCCTTATCATTTAATTACATTTTCCACCTTGTATTCAGGTAAATCTATTCAAAATTTACTTGAGTATACTTATAAAGACAAGAAAATGATTGTTTCTAGGAAGTCTTTTCATGGTGAAGATCATGAAAATGGATCATAATGGAAGTTCTGGGTATGTACTTTCACACTCTGCTTTTCAGAACCATCTATGCTGTTCCTTGAGAAATCAGTGGCATACCTCTGTTATGTAAGACTTCTTAAACTCCTTCAACACAGATATCATTTGGAAAACTGCATGGGGCATATTTTATGACTTTTACTGCTTTGCCTTTCCAGCTGCCCCACTGAAGAGATATTTTGGCTGAGGTTCACCTATCATGGCAGCATGGGCCCAGGAGACCCATGGAAGGTTGTAATGAGGAGATCCATTAACCAGTTTCGTTATTTCAGAAAGACCAAGGGAATAACAATTACCCATAATAATGCTGCTGAAGCTACAGTGTCAAATTACCTGGCTTTGGGGCAAAATCTTATCAAGTTCACATAAAAACTCCTATTTTCTATGCTGGTCAGAGTCTTTGATTGGCAACTATATGAATATAATTAATAAAATGTGAAATAAAAATAAAGTATTTTGTTGAACATTTAAATTTTTCAAACCATACAGTTTCAGACATAAAAGATAAACAGAGAAGACTAATTTAAATCGCGTTCAGTGACAGTTGAATTCCTTTACTAATGATGATGATGATAGCATCATAGTTAGAACTTGTATGGACTTTCTAAGTACCAGATATTCTTGTAAGCTTGATACATACTTTAATTTCTCCAATTATCACAGCAGCCATATTGAGTATTAACAACATTAATCCAAAGTAGGGTTATAAAAAATGAAATGAGAAAAGTATAACAAGGGTCATCAAATATCATGCACATGGACATACAAATACAAAGCCCTGATGCAAGACTGAATCTCCGTCCTTGCTCTCAATAACTCCATGTTGGAGTTGTTTTCATTTTTTTTATTAGAACAAAGATAACAAAGCATAATGGTTTCCCTATCCATAAACTTAGAGTCATTTATAGTGTTTTCAAGAGCTGGAAAGATTAAATAACTTTTATAAATTTCTAGAATAATACTTGATATACATTAAGTTCTGATAACGTATGTTTGTTTTAATGACAATATTATTTTAAACTACAACTCTCACCTTTATCCCCACTTACAAATCAAAATTCTTAGGCCAACCCTCTTATCCTTGTTTAATACAGACAAAAATTCACTTTAAAAATGATTGCCTTTGTTTAACTACTAGTATGCAAGGAATTCAATTGGCTGCTTAAAATCAACCATCATCAGCTCAGCACAATACCAGCTCAGCACCAGTATTATTTCTTATGACATGTTGACTACAGGTGCATAGAACCAGGCACTTGAGAGCTGCCATGGTGCCTGGCTAAGTTTTTCTGTCTTTCTCTCTTCTCGAAACACTCCTGAGAGACTGGTGATTTACCACTAATTCTATGTACATAGACAGACACTTTAAACTGTAACACCCACAGGTACATACATTCCTAGGGTAAGCATGTACATATCTAATACAGTTCAGTCTTAATAAAACTCCTTTTTTGTAGAGGAGAGTAATTACACAACAGCTTTGAAGTACTGCCTTGGATAAAGTAAGAGAAAAGCCATTGTTTATTTCACCACTCTTTAAGAGTTAATGAGAGATTTGCACCTGTACAGCTGTTCTGGACTGAAACTAGTTCATGGAGTGAATGTGTTTTCTGCTTGAGACAGTTGTAAATGCCTTGAGTAAAAACACTGAGGACTGCTAATGGATAGGTTTATTTTAAAGCATGCCATCTGCTATCAATCATAGAGAAGTATAGGAAGCAAGTTTGGCTGGGCTCCCTCCTTGTGAGCCTGATAAAGACAGGGCTCCAGGACTTGGGAACATTGAGTCCTCAAGAGAATAAAACATCAAACCTACTCAGCAGCTCCACTAACAATAATAAAAATGCCTCTGCCTAAAGGTGACATTCTGAATTTACGATTATTTGTGTCTATAAAGTGTATTCTTTGGCTCCTGACTCATTCTGACTGTCTCACTCTGAGAACAATACATTAAGCCTGCCTGGAGTAAATGGAAATCCTACCCTTTAATAAACCAGCAGCCAGTACCTGAGACCATATAATGCCCTGTAGGATCGCAGGAAGATGTTTGGCTCTGTACTGTTCTTTTAAAAAGATGTTTTGTAAGAAAATTATAAATGAGGTCCACGTCGATGCACGAAAATATGTAAATAATGTAGGCAAGTTTATGTTTCCTAAAAGAGAAAATAAAATGGTATAAAATATAAGGCTAAATTGGAATTAGCCCTTCTACATCTCTATCACATGCACATTACAATGCCGTTAGAAAGTTACACGTTAGAGATACATTATAGTAAAATGTAGAGCTTGTTGCACAGAATTATGTTCTGTACATTGTATGGACCAAGCGTGTTTTCAAGAAGACAAATATTATTTCCTCAGAAATCTTCCAGCTGTGGAATCATAACCAATATTGCTTTCAAAAATGGATCCCAAAGTATTCCTTGAAAAATACCAAGCCTGTCTTATTAAAAGTACTGCATGTTGAAATCCTCAGTGAGTTAAATGTGTTGCTGTAGTACTGAAACCTTCCACAGTTTAGAACGTTAGATTCTGCCTCAAATCTGCAGCTTAAACTAATTCTATTGGCAGCCTAGAAAACGGAATTGTGAGTATTTGGGGAAAACCCACCTGGCCAGCAAACTCATGAGCCTAATTAAAGTTAATAGAGAAATTAACAGAGGAAAACATTGGCACAGTAGTACTGAAAAAACTGTATAAGTCAATAGAAATTTGGGGCAAGACCTTATATATTTATGGTAGACATTTATTAGTACTGCTTCCTAAACACATGAAAAAGGAATTGGCATTATTTGGCTTGTTATGTGTTATGAATGATATCCTATAGTTCAATAAATAATTTTTTATTTTGTGCTAAACAAAATGAATGTTTCAGGTTAAATATTAAGAACCAGGAATACTAACTCATTGAGCATATTTTCAGATCTTCTAAATCAGCACTCTTCTATGCTCTAAGATATTGTGAAATTACTATCTGCTCCTTCACAGGGAAATCAGTTAGATATATTCAGTGGAATTCTACAACAATATCACAGTGTCAAATTTATAAGCTAGATTTTTAGAGAAAATATGTGCTACTACAAAAATTCAGAAAATAAGGGAACAACCAGAATTACAATAACCCAAAAGGATATTTAGCAAACCATTCCCTTTAAATATATATATATATAATAAATACATAGAGTTGAAAAAATTTTGTACTTAAAAGGATATTTAAAAAAGATATTTTTGAAACTCCAATGCAAATTATGAGGGATCAGATGCATCAGGTGATAAAATATCTGGGCAGCAAAAATAAGAACTGACAGGAGTCGCCAGGCCTAATATCACGTGAGTGGTGCAGCAAGTGTATTAATACATGCATAAAATAGGCCAGAGCAGAGTGCAACAAATTGAGAGACACTTGTCTCAAAGAGAAGAGGCAGCTCTAAACATATGAATAATTATTACCGCACAAGGAAGAGAATCCTGCGTTGTTAAATCTCCAATTTATCAAAGAAAACTGGAAACCTGGCTAAGTAATATTCCCAATTCTGTAAAACACAAAAAATTAAGATAAAATCATGTACATTACCGTTATGAGAGAGATCACTGAATCCTATTCCAGTGTGCTCAATAACTTGTCACTGAGATTTTTAATATTGTGAATCTAGAAAATATTGTATCATTAAAGCTATTAAAATTACACTAGACATCATTCTATATTGTGGTCTTACCAACTTTGCAGGAAGCCAGTTCTCCAACTACAAACTATTTTAGAAGACTCATTTTGTTCTGGAAGCTGTGAAAGAGTGCTAAAGGTTAGTGTGGTTTTTTTTGTTTTTGGTTTTTGTTTTTGCAACAAATTTGAAATCCATGTCAAATAATTCAGTGACACTCTAGTGGAAAAACTAGCATGATGGAGGCTGTACTGCTCTGATTAGACACTAGTGGTCATATCAAGAAGAGAAATAACTGAAGATTAGCACGGTAATTTGTTTCTCTAAACTTAAATCATTTAATCTCTTTCCTTAGGAAAGTAGTGGTCCATGAATATGGTAAAAGAATTAAAATCACATTTATACAGTGATTTCTACAAGATTTTAATGTTTTCAGTAAAAAGCATAGATCATTAAAATATACTTAATAAATATTATTCATAACTCATTACCTTAAATATTCCCTCCTTAGAAATTGCAAATGCTCACTGTCTGAACTATAAGAAGGTTGTAATACTAGGTAGGTTTTATGTGACATTTTTGCAGTCAATATTCACAATTTAAGAGCTACACATTGGGGAAAAAAAGAGTTTAAACTATAATAAATCTGTCTTGTTCTGTAGAAGATCTCATTTTATCTTACTGTTTAAGCAAGGACCCACATCAATAATTTAAATATCATGGCCAATTTTAACTATAGATAGATAGATAGATAGATAGATAGATAGATAGATAGACAAATAATTCTATCCCAATAGGAAAATGTTTCCAGAAACACTATGCATTTATTAATTCAGTCAACAGGTATTTATTGAATTCTTACAAGGTTCTCTACTCAGTGTAGAAAAGACCTGGCTTTTTTTTTTAACTTTGTGTTACTGGATTAAGAATAATTTTCTTTGCATTTTTAAAGGTGCAGTCTCTATTTCAAAATCCTCCATTTTCAAAGTCAGATGTATACCTAGCAACAGGCTCGAGGACAGAAACTCCTGCTGAAGGCCAACACTGACTAAATTTTGTCCCAAAAGCTATAACACTGAATGGAACAACATTCTTACATTTAAAAACATAAATGACCAACAAATGAAGAGATTAGTATAAATAATATAAACTCATATCAAAATCAACTATCTAAATGTAAACAAAGAAGACTGGCATTAGTAATAAAATCCAAGTTGTTATACTGGAATGAACTTTGAGTTGAACTAGTTCAAATGTTATCAAAAACTAACTATAACATCAGTGGAAGGTGTGGTCCCCTCTCCATGCTTCCCATTGCTTTCCTTTGAAAGTAGAGGGAGGAATTAGCATTCTGACCTCTCTAAAATTCCTTATCTTTTACACATTACAGATTGGGTAAGTATTTTTTATTTTCATGTCTAACAAAATTTCATCCTTACCAAAAGAAAGCTTTTCTGTCTACCTATTTATCTATTCATTCTATCTGGTATGCTATTCTAAAAAGATAACCGCATTTACAATTTTGGTATATTTCTTTTTTTTTTCCACCTACTACAAACAAGTCAATGTGCTATTTATACAAAAGTTGTAGATATACTCTTTGTCTTTATTGATATTTTTCCTTCACTCTTGATAAAACTCATATCACTGGACAGTTTTTAAAAATGTAACTAGAAAATCTTCCACTAGGTGGATATATGATTATTGATGAAGCATTCCCCAATATTAAACATTTAAGCTACTTTCAACAAAAAGTTCAACAAGATTTGTTAACAAGATTGGTTAAAGAATCATGATGTACACCTGTGAACATTTTCTTAAGATCCAGTCCTAAGTATGCACATGGTATTTTTAAAGCTCTCAACTTGTAGTGCTACAATGTCTTCCAGAAAACTTTCATGTCAGTTCACTTTGCCTCCAGAGTAGAAGAATGTCTACTTACGATTAACAAGTTGTGTATATTACTTCAGTATGATGGGTGGCCCATCGTGAGAGATTTCATGTTGTTTCCTGGAGCAACAAAGGAAGGAAAGCTACCTTAGGTTCCTTTTTTTCCTTCATAGTCTTCGAGTATGCATGAAAGATTAAATTTAGGCACTGTGCCCACCTCTCTCATACACATTTGCACACACACACACACACACAGTGCCCCTGGTCATACATGTAAGATGAACCTTTTGATGACAGCCCGCAGACTCCCACTGACATCCACAATCAAGGAAGGGAGGACTTTTCTGAGGCCATTTGGGTAAAAGCCAGCTGTCAAGAGGCCATGGAGAGCCAGAGTGAGTCTTCAGGGGATCCTGCCCGGTTGAGAAAATAGTTTCTGAGATGATAGAAGTGCTATATAGTGTAGATAGAAGAGTTCTTTTTCTTTATCTCCTAGAGAAAGAAAACTATTGCCAGGAAATGAGGTACTTTTAAAATCCTACAACAACAACTGAAAGAAAAATTTGCTAATTTTGCCAGCTAGCACAAGGAACTCGGCCGCTAGTCAAAAGGCTCTGCATCCAACTCAAAGCTGGATTCATTTTGACAAAAATTTCCCTCTTCAGCCACCTAAGTGCCTGTTGAATTAGGCATTAAGCCAAGGTGGGGTAAAAACAGTCACTCAAAAGAAATGTCCGTTTCTATTTGGATCTCCGTGGCCCTTTCCCATGTCATGATGAAAAAATGTTTCCTCTCCTTGGATGGTTTCAGGATGCCTTGGTTTGAGGAGGAAGTCAGATCTGCTGCTCAGAAGACACCCCTATGAGGGAAGCCACAGCTTTGCAGAGTCAGAACCAGGCTGTCTCTCTTTTCAAAAAGGCAAAATTACTCCTCACCCACTCCTATCCATGGTTTTGATGTTGAAAGAAACCTGTTGTGGTTTAAATGACTCGGTCAGTTCTTTTGGGATTTTCCAAAGTTTCCTATAAAAAGAAATCTGTGGGAAATGAGTGATTGCATAATCACTAACATATGCCTGTTTCACTAACACTGTTATCTTTTTGGTGTTGTGAACTGCATTGTCCCATCTAGAGAATAGTTATAATAGTTCCATCTTTTCAGTGGTGATTACATTGTACAATATTTTTTTAAAAATATTTGAAGTCATCTATTTAAAGAAAAGCAAATGCTACAAAAAGTTATGCCATGATTTTTATGCAGAAAATCAGAAAGTCATAGTAATGACAGTGAGGAAAAAAGGCAATTATCTAGATAAATGATAGAGAGCAACAAAAGTGACTCCTTAGTTACCTGTTTGCCTTAGTCAATATGTGTTTTGGCCTGAGTTCAGATAATAAATGCCTCTCATTTTTCTTTTTGTGGTGTAGATCTAGTTGATTATCAAGATTGCCTCTCTCTTAAATTAGAACATATTCATTTTTGCTTATGGTAAAAAGCCCCTATTCCTAGAAAATTATCTTTAAAACTAGAGAAAAATGTAGATGAAGCTTGAAGGATAAAGTATCACATAGGTTAACAAAATGGATGTGGTTATTTATCTATGAGGGTGAACATTATCAATGCCTGATCTTCAGTTTACTAGGACTCACAGATAAAATTTTCACAGGGTTTTCTAGTATTTGTGTAGCAATGAATCCTGAGATTTCTTTACTTGCTGGTTATGTCAATGATCATATAAAATAGAAAAATTATTATTTTTAAACATTTTTCTATCACTGTTATTGGTGAAAAGCGTATGAACCCAGTGGAGTAAGGCTGGTCAGAAAGTGCATCTTGTGTTTGTATTCAGTCAACTTCCATTTACAGTTCCTGCACCAGCTAGAGTGCATCCCATTTGTCCTCAATTCTGGCCATATAGTAGAGCCAGAGTGGCCACAAAGAATTGTCTCAGGGCTCTAAGAATACTTAGAACTTGAGTCTCTTCTCCACCAAGTAAATCAGGCCATGAGTTACGAGAATAGGTTCTGGTGTTTTTTGAAAGGTGCTTGGTGATTCCATTATGTAACCACATTAAAAAAAATTCTAATGCTCCCATATGATCTAGGAATGTCTCTATCTGAAACTATACCCTTCTTGACTATCAATAAATTTCAAACATACCATCTTTAAACCAAGACTAAACTATAGCTCAGTTTATTTTGCTACAGTTATGCCATTGAACCTAATTAAATGCCTAAATTAGAGAAGTGTCTAACACATATTTACTTAATAAGGAAAGAAAGAATCACAAAGCAAATTTTAAAACAAGACTGGGAGTGGGTAGGGAGGGTCACACCAGTAATCCCAACACTCTTAGAGACTGAGACAGAAAGACAGCAATTTTGAATGAAGACTGGGCAATTTAATGACTTAAGAACTTTGCATAAAAAGCAAAAGTAGTTTCAGGACGTAGCTCAATGGAAAAGTCATGAGTTCAAACTTTGAACCTCAAAATAAAAAATAAATAAAATAAATGAATAGATTAACAATGATTACTAAATGATAAATATATCTGAAAGGGAAATTTTCTTGCAGAATATTACTATTCAGAGAATTTTTTACTAAAATATTTAATATTTGGACCTTGAAGACAGCATGACATGTGGTTTATGTGAAAAATAACTGGAGCAAGAGATTGAAAAGCTTAGTGTTAACGATTTTGCAAAATGAGAGGTCTAAAATTAGGTATAAGAGATATGTAGTACTACTGTCCTCTGCATTCAAGACGGATCTTCAGAATCAGCAAGAAAATCTACTGAATTTTAAAAGAATTTAGAACCCATTAAAAGCTAAATGGCTTTAAAAGTACAATTTCTGTTCACAAATACAAGAATGGCCAGAAGCTACCAAGGTAATAAGTAACATTCACCAACTTTATTTTATGGGAATGCTTCTAGTTTGGGAGATTAAGGAAAACCAGAATAATATATCTTGAGTTCCATATGAACTTATACATCATTTATTCATTGATAAGATGGTGATTGCAGAATAAATCATGGTGGAGTTAAGAAGAGTCATAGTGTGCTGAAGTTTTTCACATTTTATTATTGTTTTGCAGTTAAAATTGCCCTTGAAATTGTTTTTGTCTCGGTAAGAAAAAGAGAGCTTTTCTTCCAGCTATGGAACTAATCATTTTTCCTATGATTGAGCATTATATGGAGCATTTGGCTTGTGTTTAGGGACAACGTTGTATATCACCCCCAAAAACCTGAAAACTAGAGTTATACTCAGCCAAAAATGAAAACTAGTAACCTCATGTGAACCGAAACCAAAGGCATATATTAATCAACTAGAATGAACAAAAGAATAACACCTGTTATATATTGTTTCCATTTCTCTCTACATTTCTCAATTCTCCTCATAGGTTTTAATTTATTACGCAGAGGCTATCACATAATTCATATATGTTAAATTATTCCCTGATGAAATGCAACCATAACCATCTAAATACTATCCACCTGAGAAGAAGTGCATCACGTGTTATGACATGGACTTCGTTCTCTTTTTTTCTGCTCAAAGTCAAAAAGGAAGTATATTCGTTTTTAAGATAATAAAAATGTGAGAGGCAAGATAATAGTTTTAAATATAAGGTCAATGTATAGATCTCAGCAAGCCAGAATTACAGTTGCAAATAAATACAGCATTTAACAAACTCAATTAAAACTTAGTTTAGGTCAGAGTGGCAGATATCTAAATCCATACTTGAAAAGATCATCTGTTGAGTATGAATCAAAAATTGAGAACTGTAGTGATGAGTTATTTTAGGAGAATAATAATCTATATACTAATCAAAAACAACTTCAAAATGGGAAAGATATTTTAGGTTTCATTTTTAATGATACATTTTGAAAGATGTTGATAAGGTAATAACCAAAGGTAAAGATAAAAACATAAATCATATATATGTGTATATATGTAAAAATACATGAATTATGTATATATTATGTATATGAAAATATACATAAATTATGCTATATAAAAATGTATACATATAACATAAATATATATAAATTTATATAACATAAATATATATATATATATACATATCAATGCCTGCAAATATTTTAGGATAAAAGCTTAGCAAATCTTATCAGTGATTTCCTCAATGATATTCATCATAGTAAATGGATGAGTGTGATGGAAACTTGGATCTCCTTGAAAGAAGTTTAAAAGCTAGTAGATTTCATAGTTGTTTCTTATGATTTAGATGAAGCAAACAAAGGAAACTTTTATTGTGGATAAATGAAATGATTCTCCAGGAAGATCATAGACTCACCTTATAATAACTTCAAATTTGGCAAGATTGAAGCAACCATCTGGTTTGAATACTTTTTCAGTGAAGTATGCCTCTGATAGTTCAAAGAATTCTAGAATAAAAAAAACTTTGTAAATTGGAAATACAAGTAATAGCAATGTTTTAAAGTGTATCTTCCAGGTAGTCTCTTAACTAGTCACCCACAGCTACATACTTGCTTCCCGCTTACTTTGCTTATTTTGGTATCAAAAGTCACCTTTTCGAGAAGGAATTACCTGTACTTAGCCACCTTCCCTAAATCTGCCACCATTGGTCTTTATCCTCTCTCTCTCTACAGTATACTTTCCCCCCAGTAACCTAAGCACTCTCTGTCTGTCTGTGTGTTGCTATTTTTCTGTTCTTTCTTAAATGCACACATCTTGGAGATTTTGTCCCACTGGTCTCCTATTCATTGCTTAAGAAGTCTTAACAACTAGTTAATAAGTGGTTTCTAGTTACTAAAAAAACGATCACAGTTCTTATTTCTCTGTTTATGTTCTCCCTTTCTGAGCTTTCCAATGAATTCCGTATATCAGATTATTTATTCCAAAGTGTTATCCAGAATGTGCAGCTTGTGGCTTATCCAGTCCAGGACTGAGTGGCCTAGACACGTATTTCAAAACCAGATGGAAGCTTCCTCTCTTGTGCATCTTGGCTGAGATGTGATCTCTCCTGCCTATCAATATTGGTCCAAACTATCCCTATATGCTTGCTCTGATGTGCCGCCAGTCTCTTGACCTCCAGGATTAGCTAACTACCTATTTTATTTTTAAATGACATCCACACATATTTGGAACTGTTACTTCTAAGTCAGACTATGACTTAGAGCAAATAGGTATGTTATACTATTTTCCCCAAAAAGTCAAATATTTCTCGCTCCATCATTTTTAT